GTTCCCTTGGGCAACAGACCACAATGGCAGATAAGCAGACCTCTGGGACATCAGAGGCCCTGAAGCCACACCAGACGCAGCTGGGACAAGGTGAGGTCCCCAGGCGTCACCTCTGCCACCCACTGCGCAAGCACAGCAACCCCGCGGCCTGCCTACCTTGGTACTGGGCGCTGAAGCCGCGCTGCCGGTGGTTGCCATCTGACGTGAAGTGCAGCCGCAGCCAGTTCTTGCTGCTGATGACAGGGGCTGGAAGGCTGGCTCCAGTGAACCTGCAGGGACAGGAAACAGGTGGGGTCAGGGACCGTAGACGGTTGGGACGGAGGCATGGGCATCCAGGAGTCACCGCTCTTCCCTGCACGCTAGGGCCTCCGCCCAGGCCCGGAGGGAAGGGAGGCCTGTGCTGGCCCGGCGGCCCTGCAGCAGCCTGGGGCCCGAGCAGCTTGAACTCGCTCCTCCATGGGCTGTTCCCACTGCTAGGTTTCCCTGAGCTGCCCCAAGGAGGGGGTGGACCCTCCAGGTCTGGAGCAGAGGACCAGACCCCCAGCAGAGAGGTCCAGGCTTCCCAGCAGAGCACCCCACCCCCCACCCCACACTCACACCAGCAGATGTCCACATACCCACTCCCAGCAGAGATCCGGAGCCCCCAGCAAGGTCCAGCCCCCACGCAGAAGGCCAATGCCCAGCTCTCCAGCAGATGTTCAGCACCCCATTCCCGGGCAGAGGTCCAGCTACCCCCCAGCAAGCCCCTCGGGCCCTCCAAGGAGTCAGACGTCAGGGCTTGGGCAGCCTCTGCAGGCGCTGCAGCCTTCACAAGCACGAGCGCTCATCTGGGGAGCGCTTACTGGGCCCATCGCCTCCTGTCTCCTCCCCGTCCCTGCTCAACTCACTCCTCACCCCTTAGATTAGCCTCTTCTGGGCTCCAGCCAGTCCGGCTCAGTGCGGGGGTACCAGGATATCCTCCACGGTCACCGGCCACTGTCTCAGCCTCTTGACCGACTGCCATTTTGAGCCAACTTTCTTTCTAGAGTTCCTCAGAGCACAAGCGCCCTCAGGGGTCCCAGTGCCTACACAGGACTGGCCTTCCAAACTTTCCACCCCGCCCCCTGCGCTCACCGTTCTCGCTTAGTGCTGGCCCTGTCTGCCACGCTTAGCCTAAGCCCTCCACGCCCTCCTTGCTCTCCGCATTCCTTTGTTCCCCGGGAACCGCCTCCATCTTCTCTCCTCTGCCCCGCAGCCTCCTAGCTGGCCCGACTCTCACCCCCCTCCCCACAAACCTCCTGATGCTTCGCCTTTGGCGTCGTCACTCCTGGTAGCCCCCGCGCCCCTGGACACCCTGCTCACATCTCCTGAGCAAGCNCGGCCGGCCCGAAAATGATCCTTTTTGGAAGTGACTGATAACTGGTGATGAGAAGTGGATTGTTTACAACAATGTGGTGCGCAAATGGTCTTGGTCCCGATGTGATGATTCGCCTCAAATGACATCGAAAGCAGACATTCATCAGAGTAAGGTTATGCTCTCAATGTGGTAGGATTTTAAAGGTGTCGTGTTTTTCGAGCTCCTACCAAGGAACCAAACAATCAATTCGAATGCATACTGTTGGCAATTGGACAGTTTGGAGGAATCCATCATCCAGAAATGTCCAGAGCTTGTTGATTGTAAAGGAGTTGTGTTCCATTGCGACAACGCGAGACCACACACAAGTTTGATCACCTGTCAAAAATTATTGGAGCTTGGGTGGGATGTGTTATCACACCCACCATACTCGCCGGACCTTGCGCTGTCAGACTTCCACTTGTTTCACTCTCTTCAAAACTCCTTGCGTGGTATGACGTTCAATTCAGATGAGGCTGTAAATCAGCACCTTGTTCCGTTTTTTGCAAATAAAGACAGGTCCTTCTATGAACAAGGAATTATGAAGCTCACTGAAAGATGGCAAAAGGTTATCGAACAAAACGGGCAATATATCATTGATTGATCTTTGTTCTTTATATAAATAAATGGCCTTTGAAAAACATGGACAAAGTATGTCATGACTTTCCCGACAACCCAATATTTTCCTCCCTTACTTAGGTCTGAGAAAAGACAGGATGGCATCCTATCAGCGCCTTGAACCCTGCTCTCCAGAGCACACAGGGATTAAGCAGACCTGAGAGCAGCCTGGACTAGGTTTTCCTGGGGAACTAAGGGCACCTGCTTCCACTCTGGTGACAGAACAGTGCAGGGGTGAAAGGACAGGGCATACTCTGTGACACCCAGCATAGCCCTCGGCAGCCACCTTCCCTCTGTCCCTCGGGTGGCCCAAGCCTGGTCTCCTCCAGTTCGTGTTTACTCAGCTTTGCCCATCTTCTGCCTGTCACTGGCAGGCATGACTCAGAGAAGGGACCTGCCCCCTTCCAAGGAGGGCGGCAATGTATGCCTCACAGAGGCCTCTGGGGATTACATTGGGATAATACTTCTCATCCAGAGGAAATGTTTGCAGATGGCTTATCGAGGAGCTTCCCACGCATCTTTGCCTGCCCCTCGGCTGCCATTCTTAGTTTGAGCATCATCAGCGCTCGCTCTCCCCCTCCAGGAGGCAGCTAGCCAGCCCTGCCAAGAATTCAGCAGCTCGAGAGCTATGGCTAAGGGAGTGAGCCTCCCAGTCCCTAAGGGAGTGAGCCTTCCATTCCAGAGAATGGAAAGGGCTAAAATATCTCGGGGATGCTAAAGTCCGTGAACAAAGTGTCCCAGAGCCAGGTGGAGCTGGATGCTGACCCCGCCTCCTGTCACATTCATTGCTCTGTGACCTTAGGGAGGTTGCTTTACCTCTCTGAGCCTCTCTCCCAGTGTGTGTCTCATAGTGTGATCTATGACAATGAAAGGTGATTCAGTGATGCTTATAAACTCTTGCCAAGGCTCTGAGACACAGCAGCCACAATTCTTGGTCATGTCATGTCTCTGTGCAGCAAGAGAGANTTCCCCCAATTCCCCAGCACTGTTCCCATCCCCCCAATTCCCCAGTAAAAATCTTTAAAAAAAAAAAAAAAGAGTTTACTGACACCTACCATAGAAGCTTTGCTGATGTGTAGTTGCTTGGTTAAAACATTTTTTTTTCTAAGTGGAGAATAATAAACAATTGCATACATAGCTTAAATGTTTCATTAAAATATAAAATACTTAAATGGAGATATATTTGCCAATCCATTTAATGCAGGACCAAGGCCTTTCCTTTAAACATGGGTTTGATTCTCCACATTGTCTGTTTTATATAAGCTGCAGCCATAGTGCATCATTCATCATGTCCAATTTGGCTACAGCTTGTCCAGCCAACAGATAGTTATTCAGCACCTGCGATGTGCCAGCACTGTGCTAGGCACAGGGGATGCGGCGATGAATAGGACAGACCTGGTCCTTGCCCCATGGAACTGGCTCAGCGGGGTGCAGTTACCTCACTCACTCACACTTAATATTTGGGAAGCAATGCTTTTTAGAGCTTCTTCATGGAGTCATTCCAAAGCATTCAATTTAGTTTCCATAGATGCAACTGTATTTCCTTTCACACTCATATTTCATCAGTTTATGTGATGTTTAATTTAAATCACATAATTACAATAACAAGTATGACTGGCATCGAGAGAGTTGGCAACAGACCCATCTGATTCTCAGAAAGTGTAAGACTCAGCTGGTGGAAGCAGGAAGTGCACAGGTGTTGAGAGTGGGGGTGGGAGGTGGCAGGCAGGCAGCAGGGCTTCGAATGCCACAGGGCATCGGTCAGGAAGGTCTATGAAGGCCACGGGAGTGCCAGCTACTCCAGGGAGCTGCTTTGGTGGAGACGGTTAAATGTACATAGGCTTTTGAGTGGATGAATAAACGAAATGTCGAACGGCAGTCTCTTGCTTTCAATAGCGGGACATGTTTTCTAATTTGCGATCAGGAGAGGGGGCACGAGCTATTTGAAAATCTTACTTGAGAAGGCCTTCAGAGGTCTTCTAGGTCTAATACCCGGCTAACGTGTGCATCCCAACTACAGAACCCATGACACGTGGTCAGTCAAGACCTGGTTTGAATGTTTCCAGAGATCAAGAGGTCACCTCTTTGCAAAGTCTCCCCGTCCACTTCGATCCACTCCCCCCATTTTTCTAGCTACTTCCTGCTCATCCTGCAGGCGTCATCTGACAGCCATTGGCTCCAGGAAGTTGGCTTCTCCTGGTAGAGAAAGTCCTCTGCACTTCTTGCACTTTCTCTACCATAGTGCTTCTCTCACCAAGCGTTGTTCGAGGGGTCTGCCCCACCCACCAAACTGTGAGCTCCCTGAGTTTCTTTCTTGGTCAGTTCTTTCCTCAGGACCTTGCAGACTGCCTGACACGTGCTAAGGGCTAAGTGAGTACTGCTCACTGGAAGAAGGAACTCTTGAATGAATGAATGAATGAATGAATGAATGAATGAATGAAGGAGATCTGCAGGTGGAAGCAGAGGCTGTATGTGGGGAAAAGCAGAGGAAGAGGCAGGTGAGCGGCGAGCCTGGGGATAGTAGACAGGGCCCGGAAGGCCATGCTGGGTTTCACCTGGGTTTCCCATGAAGACCTGCTGCCCCACCCCCTTGCTGTGCTCCCATTCACATAGCAGCTGCACCTTTTGTGGGGACTCTTCTCATGCTGACCTGTCTCCAATACAGCACCAGTGGAGCTTGGTTATCAAGGTGAGCAAATGTTCCTTCTTCCCCAGAAGTGACTCAAAAAACTCAGCACACTATCAGGCTCTTCTCTGCTCAGCTAATCGCTAGCTCCAGGGAACCCACAACGACTACATCAGGTAATTGCTTTTCCCCCAGACGCACTGCACCCCGGAGGAAATATGTCTGAGCCTGAGAGCATGGAGGGACAGACAGGTTCCTGGCTATGTTTGCTGTCGGGTGGGGTGAGGGCATCCTCAGCGATGTCCTGGGGATGGCACATTGAGAAGGTCTGGGGAGTGGCTTGGGTGTCAGTTCCGTCCATTCCTAGCTCAGATGCTCACCTGGCACAGATGCTGGGCGAGGCACTTCCTGCCTCTGTGAGAGGCTGAAGTGAACAGAGTGGGGTTGGTTCTGGTGCCTGGCGCCAAGCTCTGGGTGCGGGGGCTGGTGTGGGGGGGTCTCTAACAACCTTTCAGGGGATGTCCAACTCTCTCTGTTTCTGTCTCCAGGGCTAAATCAGGCAGTTCCACTCTTTCCTGAGTGCTATAAGCCTTAGATCAGCCTCCCTTGGCCTCAGCCCATGGCCCCTGAAAGAGGAAGCCATGTGACCCTTA